GTATACTTAGCGCCAATAGATAAATTAGGACTCTAGCTTAGTGTAAAGTCCCTGTAGTAAGAGTCTGGCAAGAAATATTCTCCGTTTGATTGGTTTGACGCAAAATGGCGGAACCAATAAGGTGTCTCGAATCTGTACTCTGAACCATAGACTTCTATAGACGGACCCTTTGTACGAGGGGTAACTGATAATCGCGGTAAGGGGATCACTCGTCTGACTTCGACTCTTTCCGGTGAGATTCGGTAATATTCGGTTCACATTTCCAATCATGTGCACACGTCCCCTCCAATCATCCCCTCCAACTTGGAGTGGGGATGATCCGTTCGGCCACGCGCGCGCGCACGCTCGCACACAAGCAACGCGCCGTATACCATGGTGGAAATAACAAGGTGAAGCATTGCGCATAATGGCGGCAGCTTTGACGGTTAAACCAATCAGAAGACGACCCATTTTGTAGGCGCCCACTTTATATTATTAAACATATTATTAAACACATGAAGTATTATGATATCTCAACATTAATTATATTTACTACTTATTGCATATGTAGCTTTGTTCACTTCTTTTTCATGCAATATTTAAAGAAAGGACGTAAACATCAAACGACGTGATGGATGACAGGCGCTGATGGAAGCAGCCATATTACTTTCCTTGCAAAATGGGTCGCGCGATGATTGGCTTACAAAATTGAACGAGTGCGCAGCATCGGGAATGCTTCACCTTGTTATTTCCACCATGCCGTATACAATCCTCCGTAGACAAATCTCCTTAGGTTGCTTCGCAATAGCTTGCTGTGTATTGAAAAAGGCCTGGATGCATATGTAATTAGAAAATTCTCTGCTTATGTACAACAACAAATTATTCCAAAAATATTACACTGCAATATTGCTATAATGTTGAACTGCAATTTCTCTGAGGGCGGACATTTCAACGTTGTTGCAATTAATCCTTTAGAAACGTTGCAGCAATGTTGCGCAACGTTGCTGCAATATTGCAATCTTGCAATGTAACATATATTTCTGCAGTCTTCCTGCAATCTTTCTGTGCTGTGTGGGTAAAGATATAATTTAAATAATTAAGGTCGTTATAATATTTTCTCCAAATTTAAATAATTAACACCTAACCTCTAAACAAAGGGGAGGAGTCAAACGTCCGAGCAATCGTTCATGCAGTTGTCCGTTCGGTAAATTACGTCACGTGATTAGCAGATCGGAGAGACGCAGTGGATGCGATAAGAGCTGCATAAACGAATGCACCCTTTGCGTCTCCCGTTGTTTCCATTTCCACTAGATACTGGTTACTTCCGGTATCGGCGCGCAGGCGTGGAGCCACCGCGCGAACACACAGCAGGCGGTGAAACGTGGCCGCGTTTGCGTATACCGTTCCCTTCAGTTTGCTTCGATTGCCGGCCTGTCGAGGCGTCGGGGGGTACACACACAAAGAGAGGCTCCCGATAAAGAGCCGTGGTAGCAGTGCTGGCCGCGCTGTTAGGCACTAGCAGGGTGCCCTGGTGGTGCATCTGGGTAGGGGGGTCCCGCGGTCACGTGACCGAGCTGCGTTTTGAGCGCACTAACCCAGGTACGAATTCACCGAAATTCCTTGTTTTTCCCGTGGTATTTCGCGCGTTGCGGCCCCGCGCGCCGAGGTGCCGTGTGTCCCGCGCGCTCTCGCTACCCGTCGCGCTCCTCGTCGCAGTCACACGACGCCCACGACAGCCGTGAGTTACGCGCAAAAGACTCCTCCGCCTCGCATATCTCTCTCTCTCTCTCTCTCTATACATATATATATATATATCTCTCTCTCCTCGCTCCCTCTCGGCCATTCCGAGGCCACCTCCGTTCGGGATCCATTGATGCACCGCCGCTAGGCGATGCTTGACAAGCCTTCCTCTCTCGTGCAACAGAAATGGCGTCCACCGTGCACATGGCTCGCTGAAGAGTGCGTCCTCGTGCCGCGAGAACCGTCGTTCGCCGTCGCAGCCGACCCCTCGTAGCAGCCCGTCGCCGTTCTCGTCGTCGCGCCGTAGCCTGGGCCTTCCTCGCTTTTCCTCTTCGCGCTCTCCTTCCTGCCCGCCGTCCCCTCCCCCTCCCCCCCTCGACTGTCCGTCTTTACGTTTCCTACGCGCGGACCTCTCCGTGGCGTGCGAACGGTCGGCGACGCGCCCGACGGCGCGCGTTGCTCTCCCCCCCCCCTTTTTCTCTCTTTCATTTTCCCTCCGGAGCATCGCCGCGCTGACGCCACGTGAATCTGACTTCGATCTCCGGACGTGAATTCCGACGGTAAGTGCCGACGTGGTCGCGGCGCGTTTCCCGCCGAGCTGTAGCACGGAGCACCCGTGAACGCTGTTCGCGTCTCCGACGCGCTTCCTAGACTCGACTGGACGTTCGCGCCGCGTATCGCCGAAATCGTCGGGCGATAAGCGCCGACACATTCCTTTCGACCTTCGTCATTGTCCTCGGGGCGGATCTCTCGCGGCTTCCGCTCGTTGTCGGACGCCGCCTATCCTGACCGCGCGGTCCGTCCACGTCCACGGGGATCCTCGTGTCCACAAGTTGCACCTCGGCGTGGCGGATAACGTACCCAGTCTTTGTTCAACGCGAGTTTAGATTGTAAATAATGAGCTTTGCGTAGCCTCTCGTCCGCAAACGTGCCAGTGCCACCTTCCGCTTTGAGCCCGGATTGATTAACGAGCCTGAAGAGAAACTAGCTTCTGTGTGTACAGATTTTCTGTACGACTGTGACGCGTAGCTTGTGTAGAAGCCAGGTGGACTCGCGAATTTAACAGTAAGGAGAACAGTAAGGGTAGCTGATGGCAGAATAAGGAATAGCCCGAGGGCTATTTTTGGAACGTTCGCCGGAATACAATTCTGTTTTTGGCACACAGTTTGTTCCCAACGGCTTACCCTGCACGGCAAGGTGCTAGCTGTACACGTAGACCTTGGCGTGTGGCTCGGTTTTGCCATAAAAAAAACCACCCCTGAAACGATCGCACGCGATTTGCCGACTATGATTGATTGCAAACATTACTCCTGCAAACACATAACGGCAAATTCATTCTGTTTCAGACTGTAAATAGGGAGTGTACATACGGTGAGTGCTTAGGTGCGTGGGATTTTAGTTGGCAATGAGTTCAAGCAACAAATCCTTGGTGTCCTCTGGTGGTAGAGGCACCAATAAAAATAAATCACAACAACACGGCAAATCAGATCATCATCAAACCAAATCATCAGACTCGACCAAGCATGACAAGGCCCAGGTTCGTTGAAGATCTCTGCAGCTACTGCAGAGGTTTTTTCGAGGGAAAGAATCACTATTCTTTCTCTCGAAACTGTTAACTGCAATTAGTCATTCGAAAAGTAAAGCGCGGGAGAAGAGATCGAGGCTAAAACTTGCTGAAACTCATCGAGTTGTTTATTTATTCATGTACAGACTCGTAATTTTCGTAGTATTGCAAATCTATGGAAACGCAAACATTGACTCCAATGAATAAACACGTACTTTTAACACGGAAGACATTTTATTTGTAACAAAACATATTTTGTTTATGTTTGTAAAAACAAACGGATATAAAAATAAAAAAATATATATTACAGCATTTGTAACATGAAATATTCTAAACGGAGCCGTTTGTAACGATTGTTATGCAGCAAAACACAAATCAAATGCGCAACGCGCAAATCATCGACACCAGAATGGCGGGTGGCGAGGACCCCGTTCTGAAGGAACGCATCAAACAGGTCATGGACATGACCCGGCGTTCCGAGGACGAGGTAATCCTGGCCCTGCACGACAGCGAAGGGGACTTGGACCGGGCGGTCAACGACCTTCTGGAGGGGGTGAAAACAGAATGGGAGGTGAAAAAGAAGAAGCCCCGTCAGCCCAGCGGTTCCAAGCAGTCCACAGACCAGTCGAGTGGACAGGACGACAATGGCGACTGGGAGGAACGACGCAATCAACGTGGCGGCGGTCCTCCCCGTATGCGCGGCCGCGCTAATCATGACAATCGTGGATGTGAGTTCAATCCTTTCTTCCTCTTCAATTCTTCAATTCTGTTATTAATCCAATCGCTCGAATCTCCTGGGAACGAACGTATACAACATGGGAAGATTTTGTCTCTTCATTAATTCTTGAACAAATGCAGCAAAGTTGTACGAGGATTCCTGCCTTGTTACTTTATGAATTACGAGTTAATTGTAATCTTGTGAAATTGCTTGGTAGGGCGCGGACGAGAGAATAAGGAAAACGAGAGGAACATGGAAGACGGTATGCGTGACGGCAGCTACAGCAGAAGAGGCAGGGGTGGGTCTGGAAGATCAGGTCGCGGTTGCCGTAGCGGTGGTCGAGGTCTCGGCCCAAGGACATTCGCGAATCGCAACGACCCGTCGTCTACCTCCGCTGCTCACGGCTTTAATCGGCCAATTGAGACCTGGACAGGTAGCGAGGAGCAGCAACAGAGTATTCAGGAGCCAAAAATGGGTAATTTTTATCTCGACGCGTGATGCCAAATTGTTTCTTCCATTAGACCGCGATTGTATTATCGACATGTCGTCTCTCACATCGACTTGTATCAATTATACACGCGCTTGAAATTATAGCGTTATGATTGAATATATTATACGTGCAGATGCATACACAATTGTATGTACATGTATCAAACTTAATATATCAAACATACTATATCTATATAGTAAAATATATATATAGATGCTTGGAATAATTTGGACTCTACAGAAGACTGGGATAACGAAGAGTACACTGGATCCTTGGCTGACACTAAGGTCTTCACGCCGAGCGCGAACATCCTCGAATCTACGCCCGTTCTGGAAGAGCAAAAGCCCCAGGAGATGTCATCCACGCAGTCGGGTCAGGGGGTCAGTCTGTCGCTGCTTCAGCAGCAGGAGGTGAAGTTTCGTCAACCAATACTTTTACACATACAGTTTTTCCATGTTCTAACGATTCCTGTTTTTGTTTTTCTTTAATTTGTAGGACCTAACAAAACTGTCGGACATGTCTACGATTCAGCAGCAGAGCTTAATACAACCTCAGCAGCAGCAAGCCCAGCAGCAACAACAGCAGCAAGTGCTGGGTTTACCGACGATGCAGCTGTCGCAGCAACCGAGTGCTATCAGTGGCGTATTAACAGCGGCGCAGACTCAATATCTGACGCAACTCACCCAACAGACGAGCGAAAACTTAAAAGCGGCTGCACAAACATCGTTTTCGTCATCTATGTCCAGTCAGGTATCGCAAAGTTGTTTACGTCTCGATGAATTGTCGAAGTAACCGTACGATTAATCTTGTCGCGTTAAACTACCTGAAATCTGAAGTGGCTTCTACACGCTTGGCGTTTTACAGCCTCAGAGGCAAACGAAGCAACGTCCAAGAGTACCTCCACCGTCAAAGATCCCATCGAGTGCCGTGGAAATGCCCGGTGATGCGGTGAACAGCGGAATCGGCTTTCTCGATGTGCAATTCGGCGCGCTGGAATTCGGCAGCGACTCGAGCTCCCTCGACGGCACGGCGAACGAAAAGTACAACTCGACGAGCAACACGATCGCCGGTGTGGACATTACTTCCGGTGCGAGTACTGCAAACACTGCCAATACGAGTAATTCACTCGACATCGAAACTACGCAGACTTCCACCACACCCTTCAACGCCAGCTCGCAGATGGTAGGACTTCCCTCGTTATTCGCCGCGCGTATACGTTACAATTGTACGATGTTTTCAGTTGCAGAGTACCGACACCCTCCCAGCGTCCAACGAGCACACGATTAGTTCTCAAAGTTTCACCCGTGGAAGCAGTAGCGGCCAAAGCTTGGATATAACCAAGCAAGACTTCACGTCGCAGGTCTCGCCTGGAAATGCGCCGACGTACGGCGGCACAACGACCTACCAGCCATCGCAAAAGTCGTCTTTCCAGCCGTCGAGTGGTACGCCGAGCACCTACAACGCGTACTCGACTAATAACCAGTCCCAGTCCAGCTTCCAGAATGCGTCGGGTGCTAACGCGAGTAGCTACTCGGCGACGGCGACGGTTTCGCAGGCGAGCTACAACTCGTCGACGTCGTTTCCGCAATCCAACACGTCGAACTTCAGCCAGCCTTCTCCTTCCGCGTCGGCGTCCGCGACTTCCGGTTACAACCAACCCACCACTAGCAGTCAGGTATATCCGCGTCGACGGCGTCAAAATTCTCTTCCAGAGATGCAAGTAGCGTCCACGAGGGCTAAAACAATTGTTGCTCGATAGGTTTACCCGTCCGCGAGCGGATACGTACCGGCTACAACGTCGCAATATCCGGCGCAAGCTACCAATACGGTGTCGAACAGCAATGCGGGGTATCAAACTTACCAGCCTCAGTATCAGTCTTCTGTCACGACGTTCACGTCTCCGATAACGCAAAGTTCCGGTTACCAGAGCGCTGCGCAGTCTGTTAGTGCAGATTCTTGCTGTATCACTTAGCATAGTTCTCGCAGTTTGACGATGTGAGTTCACGCGTAAATTTTTTCTAGGTTTACGCGAATCCGTACGGCAGTTATGCCAGCCAACCGCAGGCGGCGTCTCACAATCACAAGTTGAACAGCACCGCGACGAAGGACTCGCAGTACGACAGCAGCGCGACGACGTCGAACAGTTCCCTCGCCACGACCAGTGCGCCAACGTTGGGTCTCACCTCGACGTCTGTCAATAGCTCGCAGACTAAAGTGACCAATTCCAACGGTTAGTGGACACACTGCCTCGGTACCGAATGAACCGGCCTGACGAAAAGGTGTGTTGTTTTCAGCTGTTCCAAAGAGCACGTCGAGCGGAGTGGTGACTGGTAGCAGCGGCACCGGCAACATGACGGGCGGCGGCGCGGCCGGAAGTATGACGCCGATGCTCAGTCACCAGTACATCATGGGCCAGGCTGGTGTACCTTACGCAGCTTTCCAACAACCTGTGTACAGCTACGAGGACATACAGCTTGTACAGCAGAGAATACCGCACATGGTCAGTCACTTCTCGACCTCGATCAGTTCATTCGTTCTTCTATTTATTCGAGTATAGATGCATCGCTCTCCGAGTAACGCTTTTTCGTGGCAACGTACACTGAAACGGAATAATTCGTCGTGTTGAACGTGCGATGGCAATCAAGCGCGTGCATAAGGAATTGGTTATTGTCGCAAACGTGTGTACGCTGCTTCGAAGCGCGCGCTTACTCTATTTTATGTTATTACCTGGTACGAAAATTCCTGAGGTAATTTCTTTATTGCTTGGTAGCTGCTCGTAATTCCAACATTCTTTCCGAAATGTCTCAAACTGCCATGGATGCCTTCACGACAACACCGTAAACTCGTCTCTCATTTCTCTCCTCTTATTTCTGTAGTAGGACGTTACGTTATAAAACAGTTACATTGGTAAAGACAGATCGGTCTCTCGACACCACTTCGTGCAAACGTGTCTTACCGCGGCGGTAAGGAGAACCGGGAGAGACATTCCTGGAACTCATTCGATGTACAGTACTTTAGCCACGAGACTGTTTCGATCCCCGATCTATCTTGGCTTACTTTACCTTCTTCTCTGTCTTGACTTGATTGTGTACGAATGATGCCATGTATCTGAGATTATATGAGAAATATGCATTACATTTTCATGTGGTAATATTTACATATAAGTGGTTGATGGAGGTTGTACTATACTCTCTAGCTTGTTTATGTTACTCGGATACTTTCGATTATACGAACATGGGGAGGCGTGCCGATAGCAAATGGGAGAAGCGAATGTACCTGTATGTATGTAATGCGACTGATCAGTAGCCCGGTCTATCGCGAGTAATGGTTCCCGGTTGGATGAGAGTACCCTGGTACTTGTTACACATAGCAATAGACCCAAGCAACCGCATGCTACTTGTCCCAGCTCGGTACGCGTAGAGATTAGACGTTAGTTAGCCTTCTCTTGTATTTGGAGTACACAGTGTATGCATGTAGTTTTGTGTTTGGCCTTCCTGACTAACGTGCAGCCAACTACTGGTTACTATGACGCGGCTCTGGGCTATCAGACGACCGGTCCGGCTACGAGTCTCGGCGGTGGCAGAGGCGACGCCCTATCTGGTGTGCAGGGCGTGCAGGGTGTCCAAGGGGTTCAGGGAGCCTACACCAGTATTAGCGACGCCAGGTTCGCTAGAAACGACAGCAACGCGTCGCCAGTTCCTTCCACTATGTCGCAGCAGGTGAGTCCTCTGGCTTGGAGTTGCCGCTGAATGAAACAAACAAAGAGACTCTATGTACAAAAACTCAAAGTCAAATGGGATTTGCAGACCGCCACGCAGCATCAGCAGCCGATGATAAATCCTACTCTTCCTCCGGGATACGCGTACGCATTTACTTACGGTAGCGGAATTATGCCGGGAGGCTTTCAGTACGGGACTCCTGCCATTTATCCGGTAAGTCGTGCGCCACGCTATTCGTAATTTCTCCCGAGGTGGACGGGGGCTGATGCTAAAGGTCAATTTGTGTCGCAGCAAATAGCAACGGCCGGCAACGCCGGGACAAATAGCGGCGCGTACAGCGCCAAGCCGGGTAGCTACGGCTCCGGCTACGGCGCCGGTGCGAGCTACGACACGCTGGCCTCCGCTGGCCCGTCCGGGGAGTACAAGGGCGCCGGTAGCAGTTATACCGGCACCCAGACCGGCAAGACCGGCACTTCCACGGGCAACACCAACACCGCTGGCTCTTCCGCGACGGACATCAGCGCCACGATGTACGCCAAAAGTCACGTCGCTCTTGGCAAAGTGAACGTAAGTAACACAGCTCGAGATTAAAGGCCTTCACACATAAAATTTCGTAAGGACGTAAAACGTAAGCATAAGAAAATCGACCAATCACAGTCGAGAACGTAAGGCAATGACGCAAGCAGCAGCAAATCCAACCTGTTGATTTTCTTACGCTTACGTTTTACGTCCTTACGGAATTTTATGTGTGAAGGCCTTAACCGCCGTCGGAGTAGCCCGTATGTTCACACGTTCAATCGGTCCTTTTAGTCTTACGAAAAACAAACTTTCCACTCGGCCACGCCACCGCCGTTCGGTCTTACGGGCAGTCAAAACGCTGGCTTGCCCGGTGGTTACGGCACCCCGCACTTATTCATCCCGACTATACCACATCAGATGCACCAGCCGCTTCATCAGGACGGCGGCAACAGCGGCAACCAAAGGTCCAACACAAGTTCGCAGAACAAAGCTCAAGCGAAGCCTGGATACAGTCCTAGTTATTGGACCGGTAGCAATTAAAAAAACAACAACAACAAAAGATATACGAAAATGAAAAACAAAAGACAAACTTTTGAACGCGACACGAAAGAAGGACGAAGTAACGTAACAACCTTGCTAGTAGAAATAACAAGTCGTCCTCTGTTGTGAAACGCGATAGTGTGACATAAAGACTTTGACGTTGTCAATAGTTAAAAATGACGTATAAAAAGAATAGACGAGAGACTTAATTTTTTCGTTTTCGGGAATAACACGAGTCAATGCGGAATGAGGAGTGGATAATTTTGAAAATTGATAGGTATATGCAATTATTGACCGGAATGCTTCCTTCCAATGGTAATGAACAACCGATTCCTGCGTACAGTCGTGGCTGAAGAAGGGTTGTCCGACGTTTTATGACCGGAAACATATATATGGTCCATCATGCGAGAGATTATAGCTTTGCTCACGAATATGTGGCAGAGACGCACTATTAGTGCAAAAGAATAATACGAAGGAATATCTATGCAATGATGCATGTAAATGTTCCGAAAAAGGTCGGACGACTTTTCTGATCATGGCCGTATGCTACAATCACTTGTACTTGATCTTTAATTTATTCGTTTAGTTCAGCACACTCGCAAACTTCTCCGAGAGACTGGCGTAGAGCGCGATATCACAATAAAGTAATTCCTTGCATTTTATGCGGGTGGTATACGTGCAAACCTTATACATAATAATTTGCATATTCCTTCTAACTGTGAATTGCACTCGTGCCAAATGAAATTGTAGCGTTTATAACGCGATGGATTGCGGAAGATGGATTATCGTCTGTGTCGTTCGTGAATTCCATGACGCGATCATAACGCGATCATAACGTCACAGGATTCATAACAGGTTCATCTGGCGACGTCGTGCGACGCGACGGAGCCAGTGCCGTGACTTCTTGTGTGATACACCGGAAAAGAAACTAGAAGAATAACATCCATCGGGTTCGCACCGGATCTCCCGTTTGTACAGTGCAATTTCGAATATATATTGACTGCTAATTATAGGGTGACAATAGCGTGTCTTTATATTGTTCTCTTTTCTTTTTCTCGTGTATGTAAGTAATCCTGGCTTAATAAATAATAAAAGTGCATCTTTGTGAGGTAGCGTAGAGCTGTTCCCGCAAGAGGGCGAAAATAAAAGGTGTACGCGTGAGAACGTACGCTTGTATAAATTTATTATTGCGTTTTGTAGCGTTTTTATTTTTGGTATTGCTCGTCACAGCGACCGTACGTAAAGTACGATCGGTGCACTCGCATACATTTGGTTTAAACGCGTTACGCATCGTTGTGATTAGTATTGATTTTTATTACTCTTTATTAATACGCATACGTCTATTTCATATTATACGGAAATTATTGCATATAATCTCGATTTAATGGAGAGCGATATATGCAACCCGCATTATTTCTAAGTGTAGCTAAAAAAGAATCAAATATGCCACAAATATGTAGCAAAAATTAGCGCTCTTTTATTATTTTTATACCTATCTACCTTTTGTCTCGCTAAATCCGCACACTCGGCCGAACTCGCAGAACGGAGGTCTTTTATTTTTTCCCCGAAAATTGCCAATTGCGATTTACATTTAATTCTATCGGAATCGCCTCAATTATTAGCCACAAGATTACATCACGTTTCAAATTCATACTTTTATGTAAAATACTTTGCTATACTTTTTATTGTTTGTTAATTTAGGCCGGCATGTTAAATGCCAAATCATTTAGTTGATAAAAATTAATGTTTAAAATCACATATTTATTCGTTCATTTGCTACAACGTAATTAAAAATTGTCGTTTTCGAATTGTTTGCAAAACAAACCAACAGGATCTTTGAACAAAGAGCTAACAATTTGATTCCTCTACAATGTGCTGTCGCGAGGTATCGCATTAAAAAATCTTTACTATTCAAAACATTTAATTGTTTCTGGAAAACTTTGTTTTTGACGAATTATACCACTGTTGCAGCAGATGAGCGATTTAATTATTGTCTAGAGATTCGTTGGAAAGTGTCGACATATCTAAAAACGTTACGGATTAACATTTGGCATACTAGTGCACTTCTAGATGTACCAAAAGGAAAAAAGTTCTTTTCGAGAAGAGAATCTCATTCCCATCGGATTAGTAATAGTCTCAATCTTTATTGTATTGCAGTTTTTTGGGGGGAGGAGGGGGGAAAGTAACGTTGTGTGGCGAGAGACGTTGTCAAATCAAAAGTTGCAGTTTTTCACGGTCCGAAAAGTAGCCCGCGTACCCGACGCTCGCACGTGGTGCGCGCAGAGAAGCGATATGTGATGTTTTCCATTGCAACAAACAATCGTACATTTGCTCGTAGTACACGCGGTAGAGACGAGCTGAAAAAAATCTGTTCAATTGAATCGCGAACGATTAGAATGAAGATGAGAGACACTTGACACGACCGATTATATCGAGACGAATAAGCATATATAGTAACGACGTATGTGCAGTAACAGCGATATTTGTATCTTTTTCATTGTGAGATTGTAATAAAAAAAAGAAAGAAAGAAAGAAAGCCATTATCGATTCCGTCTGGTGTACACATTCGTTAATATTGCATTATTCGTGCTGATTAGAGATGTGTGCGAACTGTATAGCTATATACATAATAATCGGAACGAGATAATACACGTATATTGACCAACAGTGGAACACATATTTTGAGGATATACTTTACATTTTTGCATTGTGAATAATGAGTGATCGCAGATATTTCTCCGGTGAGAGAGAGAGAGAGAGAGAGAGTGAAAGAAAAAAGGGACGAGAACAAAGAGCAAATATGTCGAACGGAACGAAGGAAGTAAATGTATGTCACAGACGGTTTTTTCACAAAGGTGCTCCGTGAGAATTGTTACGACTTGCGTGTACGATAAACGTGAGGAATAATGTTTCTTCTAAGCACGAACATAAACGGGCCGACGAGTCTGACGGTCGACAAAGCTTTACCGCTGATATAAAAGCGAGAAGTAAATAGTTGTAAGTAAACTCTTGTTAGCGACTGCATATATATACATATATAAATATATAAATACTAAAAATGCGGTATGAGTAGGATGCGTTTTGAGAAGATCGGAAGACCAAATGTAGATTAGCTTCCTTTTTTTTTCCGGAGGAAAGTGTAAATCTGTACTCAAGTGAACTCTCGAGAGGAAGAAAGAAAAAAAGAGAGAAAATCGGACTACATTGTCTTCGCCGTGGTCCAGCGAACGTGGACTACTGATAGCCACTTGTTGCGAGTAGAAAATACGCGTTCGAATGTACACGCAGCCGGTATCAACGAAGGAGCGATTGACGAACGACCGGGAGAATCGAGTAATTTTTCCGTTTCTGTCTTAGTGTATGTTTTTATAGTCGATTCAGACTTCATCGTGTATACTCGAATCAATTTAGGACGAAAAAAAAAGAAATAATAATACTAAGTGTAATGTATAATGGAAAGTAAATGGGAAAAGATGCAAAATATAACGGAGGAGGCGAGGGTTGCTGAAAGCGAGTAAGAGAGCGGGAGTAGGAGAAAAGGGAGAGATAAGATTTGGAATTAAGCACGTTTGTTCTCATATAATTATACATTAATAATTTTTGTATTTTTGTCAAATATTAACCGAGCGAGGGGGAAATGCACGATATATGCATTACTCAACTATTGCTATTATATGATTCATAATAATAATAATAGCTACTACTGTGTATAAATATGGATATATAAGAATAAATGTATTAAAGAAGTCTGGCGATTTACATATCCGTGGTGCAAGTGCTTGTATTATGTATCCCGCGTTTAACGCCGTTTCCCCGATCACACTGCAAGATTTCTTCACGAGCCATTATTGATTTACTTAGAAATGTAAGATAAAAAAAGTCACGCGCCCACACAGCACAGAAAGATTGCCCTAGTAGCACAGTGCATTGCTAAACATTGGCCCAATGCAACCAAACATTGGGTCAATGTTTAACCAATGTTTGGTCAATGCACTGTGCTACTAGGGTGCAGAAATGTTACATTGCAAGATTGCAATATTGCAGCAACGTTGAAATGTCCGCCCTCAGAGAGATTGCAGTGCAACATTGTAGCAATGTTGCAGCGCAATATTATTGGAATAATTTGTCGTTATACATAAGCAGAGAATTTATCAATTACACATACATCCGGCTTTTTTCAATACATAACAAGCTATTGCGAAGCAACCTAAGGAGGTTATGTCACTTCGCAATAGATGGAGATTGCGAGCAACACCGCACTGATCAGGTACTTAATAATTCGCGCATTATTGGTATCAACGAAAATAACATTATAAAATTCTCGTAATTAGAAAATTTTTTTAAATAGAAAATATAGTATTTTCATTATTTTTGAAACATTGCTGAAATATTGCTATCGAAAGTTCGCAATTTTCCCACACAGCACAGATCGATTGCAGGAAGATTGCAGAAATGTTACATTGCAAAATTGCAATATTGCAGCAACGTTGCGCAACATTACTGCAACGTTGAAATGTCCGCCCTCAGAGAGATTGCAGTGCAACATTGTAGCAATGTTGCAGTGCAATATTTTTGGAATAATTTGTTGTTGTACATAAGCAGAGAATTTACTAATTACATATGCATCCGGGCCTTTTTCAATACACAGCAAGCTATTGCGAAGCAACCTAAGGAGGTTATGTCGCTTCGCAATAGATTGAGATTGCGAGCAACACCGCACTGATCAGGTACTGAATAATTCGCGCATTATTGGTATCAACGGAAAATAACATTATAAAATTCTCGTAATTAGAAAAATTTTTTAAATAGAAAATGTAGTATTTTCATTATTGCTATTGAAAGTTTGCAATTTTATATCCCTGCAATGTCTCTGCAAGATTGCAACGTTTCTGCAATGTAACTGCAACCATCTGTGCTGTATGGGCGGTTACGCGAAATGCTTGCGTCTGCTATTTTCAAGTTTGCGCGCGCCGGCCGCCCGAATCAGTCGATCGATCGATCGATGCATCGCGCGCGCCTGCGTCGATTCAAGCACGAGACGAACGCAGGACGAACGTGACCGAAGGTTGAACGTTAAAGCGACGTAACCTCGAGATGGGAGGAACTGTCAACGGGAAAGATCGGTCGAGTAGTGTAAATAGTATTCTCGGAAGGGAAGTTGTGCCTCTCGATGGCCGACGTTGAAACGAGCGAAGAGAGAGGCAGGAGGGTTTGGCGCGAGAGCAAGATGACTCGCTCCAGAATATAGCGCGGTTGCGCTCGAGTAAGATCGCGATCTGTCAAGTTCAATTTCGAAAGGGAGACTCCTGCGGGCAGTCTCCTCGTTCCGCCTCGAACCGCGTGCGTTTCTCGACCAAGTGCCTCTGTGAGACACGCGTCGATGACAGAAGTACAAATCGGTAACACGGAGGCTGGCGCGCCGCGGAAGATGGCTACTACATGGCATCAGCAGGTCTTCGCGCTCGACGCCAAGTACAACACGCTGCGGGCTAACAAGTTGCCCAGTCTGGGTAAGTTCGACGTGTTCACTCGCGTTACTCCTCGATCACTCGAGTCCTCTCTCTCGCCCGCAGGTATGCTGTACATTCGCCGGAGGAATCAGCTGCTGCGGGAGAAGTTCTCCACGGACCCGGAGATCGGCGCGCGGTACTTGAAGCTGCGCTCGGAATTACTGCGGCGGCGTTACGGCGAGAGGCTGGAGCAGAACAGCGTGGGCAGCCACACGATAAGCGAGGAGTCGTCGGAGAGCCGGGCGAGGCACCAGCGCGTGCAGCGAAGATCGACAGCGGAGAACTTTGCGTTTGCCGGGGTCCATCATGTTTTCGATCAGCACAAGGTGGCCGTGACGATGCTCAAGTTTGCCAACAACGACAGGTCCAGGTTGTGTTGCGCGTCGCTGGACGGCACGCTCTCCATATGCGAGGTCGTCGGCGCATCCCCGAAGGTGCTCGCTCTCCTGGAGGGCCATCGCGGCGGCGTGACCGCGTTCGACTGGAGCACCAGCAACGACCTCGTCGTCTCCTCCTCCCTGGACGCGACGATAAGGCTGTGGAGGGTGTGCGCGGACGCGCAACCGGCTTGCCTGCGCGTGGTGGACGATCAGCAGCGAGCGGAAGTTCTGTGCTGCAATTTCATACCCGCTAATAACAATTTGATAGTAGCCGGCAATTCTCAGGGACTGATCCAGATCTTAAATGTATCTACCGGTATATACACGCGCGGCGGCTCCTGCAAAATCGGCGGGAAGGTCGGTTTCTCCTTGTCTCGAGAAAAAGAGCGACGTTCGAGAGAGAGAGGCAGGCTCAGCTAAGTTGTTCGGTAACGTTTCTAGATTCTCTCCCTGGCGTGCGAGGGCAGCGGCGGCTCGGTGATCTGGGCGGGCAACGACCGAGGCGTTATAGTGGCTTTCCGACTGGAGCCTGGCGTTGGACGGTTGACAAAGTTGCAGAGAGTGCAGGAAACCGGCGGGATGGTAACCAGTCTCTCCTGGCGCTCCTGGCTGTCCAAGGATTCTCCTTGGGCTGCGCTACTAGTGAGCAGCGCGTGTAACGCCGTGCTCTTATATCGCGTCGCAGACAATCACGGCTCTTTGTACTTTTGGAGAAAGTATCCTGTGAAGCATAGGTATTTTTATCGTGCGAAACACGCTTCTCGTTTTCCTGCTTTAGTGTCTCCGCTTACAATACAGTTACCGTATGTTTGCGTGTATCCTTTCCTTTTTCTAGACTTTACCCCTTGAGGTCAACGTTCTGTCCGCAAATGGGCGCGTGCTTGATAGCCACGGGATCGGAAGATGGTGCCGTTCACTTGCTGGACTCGGCGAGAGAAGGGAAGGCCGCCAGGATTAATCGACTGCACGGCCACGCGACACCCGCATTAGCTTTGTCCTTTAATTACGACGAATCTTTGCTCGCGTCCGCAGATCACGACGGATTAATTATCCTATGGCGCAATCATCAACGTAATTTGTAAAATATCCTGTGGAACTTTCGTCAAACTGGAAAAATTATTCGCATTCAAGCTCTTTGAGGCGAGTTATAAAAATATTAGGACACATCACTGTGTAAATGCGAAGTAGATTCGTCGTCTAGAAGATCTAGAGACCAAGATTTTAGTATTATTATCTGTATATATATTTGTACAATAACGCGCTTATATTTGAACAAAAAGTATTGCATGTAGAACGTTGGGATTTAAAGAAGGATCTGATGGAATAAACTGTCTTCTGTATAACAATATATTAATTGTTCTCTATTTTAACTTATGTCATAGTGAGCACAAAGCAGTATCAGTAAGAATAGGTGTGGTAATAGCGAGAGACGTGACGGTACTCGCGGTACTACGATAGCAGCGGTTTGTTTGTATAATCCTCTGAATATCGCGTGCACTCGTGAAACGACAGTGGCACAAATTCCCCACACGGTTTTCATACGACGCTAAACTAGATTTGTATTTCGATACTGTTTCATTGATTCGTTTTAGTTACAACAGTCTCTTTGTGTCCAGGACGAGCAATTATACGAGATACATTTACTGCAAACAAAATACTTGTAAAAATTCCTCTAAAACAGCACTTTAGCGATCGTGTCTACGTTCATCGCGCGTCCGCGAGTATTTTAGATATAGAGAATAATCCTTTGCAACGTGCCATACTGAACTCTGTTAACTCGTTACTTTGCTTGTATTGCACACTTTCACATGGTGTCGTGAAGCGAATGTACTGTAGACGCACAAAGTTATCGGTTAGCATAAAAGATAAATGTAATATTTACGTTATCATAGAAAAGGCAAATGTTTCCGTTAACATGATCGCTGGTTTCTTTCGTATCACGCATTCGAGTAAAACAAACAGGCTCGACGAATTCCTCACTTTAGTACGATACACGCGAATTTCCAACTCAAACATTCGATAATGCAAGAGCTCTCGTCTCGTTTCTTAAATCCAATATAAAACATATCGATATACGCGCTATATTCTTCTCATCACAGATCTAACAAAAGTAAAAGTCTATCAATACATCGTGTATATATCATATAGAAAATTAGTCGTGCAAGTATTTTCATGTGTTTTTCCTTCGCCACGAATCCTTACAGTGGGACAGCAGCCCACTTATACTTTGCTATACAATACTTGGATAATGTAGAGAGCAGATTTGTTAATAATGTTTAATTAATATCAAGAAATATCATGACGACGTTGGCAAGGAAAAACGGAGGACGTGAAAGACGATTATATAGTTTCTTAAAGAGAAGTCACAAAAATAATCGTGTCGTTCTACATATAGGCACTACTGCTCGTTTAACAATTACACTATAAACAATAATTATTTACACGCGCAACGAATTGTTCATCGTAATTCGATGTAGCTCCTACAAATCGATTGTCTAGAATTAATACTCATATGTCCACTTTTTACAGAGCCCCTCCGCAGTCACTTCTTCGTTCCAACATGATTAAATCGTCATACGGATAGAAAGCCTTATTGATAATGTAAAGTCGCGACTATCTACGTACTGACACGCTTTTTCTTCCCCCTGTATTTGCTACGGAACAGTCATAACAACTCCGCTAACAAGATCCGTTTGGACGACCGATCGACTTGTACAGCCTCGAGTAATATCCGCTACGTCTTTCTTATATACATTTGTTCGAGATTCGTGTCGTAGTAATAATCTCATCGGTGATAATCGGATCGCGTGCGCTAACAGAGAGAATCACCGAATTTTTCACGACGAGATTGTTTCGGACGGACTTGGACTAAACTGTTCTTCGTTCTAAAATTACAGACTTTAGTCTCATTTTAATCACGAGCTAAAACACTGCACTTCTCGGTGGGCTCCGGCGTCTCCTGACTATCACACTGAGAAATTCTTGTGGAAGATGGACCGACCTGAACATCTTCGTGAGGCACCTTTGGCAATGCGTTATCGTCATTCGTTGGACTCGATACGATACATTGGTCCTGCGTGACGACTTTCTCTACAAGTTCGGACTCGTGATTCTCTTTAATGTCTAATTGCTCGTCGTCCGCTTGCGATGGTCTCGCAGGAACGAACGGGGCGGACGGTGTACCATTCGACGATACCAAGTTTAATTTCAAACGATCCCTAGTGTGCCTTAACTCGCCTAACTGTTGCTGCTGACACTGGTCGTACTCTTGCGCGAAATCAACGTTGTTCTGGTGCGGCTCCTGTCGGCAGCTGTCCGTTTCGTCCCGATCGTCGGACAACGAAGTCGCGTTCGCACCGGGAAAAAATTGACTGACGTACTTACTTTCACCAGTTTGGAACTGAAACGGTCGATTCGAACTGGTCACAAAAAATTCCTCGTTTCCTGAAACGAAAACAAACGCCGTCACACAGGCATCGAAAATATACGCGACAAGCCGTGTCTTGATGAATTAACACGTACCAGCGTGATTGGCATCGTCATAATCTAAAGGATATAGATCTAATCGTGTCTCATTCATCATTTCTTCCCAATCTGCAACATATAAAGAAATGGTCATTTTTATTCCTTTACCCCATACAGCACAGATGGTTGCAGTTACATTGCAGAAACGTTGCAATCTTGCAGAGACATTGCAGGGATATAAAATTGCAAACTTTCGATAGCAATATTGCAGCAATGTTTGAAAATAATAAAAATACTATATTTTCTATTTCAAAAATTTTATAATGTTATTTTCGTTGATACCAATAATGCGCAAATTATTATGTACTTGATCAGTGTGGTGCTGCTCGCAATCTCCATCTATTGCGAAGCGACATAATCTCCTTAGGTTGCTTCGCAATAGCTTGCTGTGTATTGAAAAAGGCCCGGATGCATATGTAATTAGTAAATTCTCTGCTTATGTACAACAACAATAGATTATTCCAAAAATATTGCACCGCAACATTGCTATAATGTTGCACTACAATCTCTCTGAGGGCGGACATTTCAACGTTGCCGCAATCCTCCAGAAACGTTGCAGCAATGTTGCGCAACGTTGCTGCAATATTGCAATCTTGCAATGTAACATTTCTGCAATCTTCCTGCAATCTTTCTGTGCTGTGTGGGACATCTGGTCTTGTTACACTTGTCTCTCTAATGTTTCCATTTGGGAAATATTTTATAATAGAGAGGCAAAATGTTTGTCGATTGTGCGTGAAAAGTGTACCAGAGTACGATGTTCGTTCCGAGTTGGTAATAGTATCCGTTTGACTGTCCGCGGGTAATGTTTCCTTCGGGTACTCGTATACGCACTGATAGCGTTGCTTCTTGAACCACACGCTCTTCTTCTGATCCTGAACAAATCGCGCATCGTCAATCGGACAGTTTCTCACGGGAAAGCAAGCATATGCTTGAGTTACATCTACATTTAGCATTCGTCTAGAGTGTACATTTATAAAAGAGTACGTGCGCCAAGTACCTCGAATTTAAATTTCTGCAAGGGAAAGAGTCGCGGGAGAGGAATGTTAAAATTACATGCATTGCTCTGTACTTAAGTAATCGACACACCTACCAACTCATCCTAGCGGCAATTGAAAGGAGGAGAAGAAGAAGACACCGTTAATACTGAAATAGGGACGCGAATGATTTTGCATACGATATATTTGTCGGTTTACCCCTGATTTTAACGTTTTGTCTGGAGACCTCAATGCCGATCGATGCGGTGCTAAAGCGGCATTCCAGGCCGAAGGTGTGAATTCTTCTTCCTCCTCTTCGTCCTCGACAGCCAATTCCTCTTCTAATTCGGCACTCGTCGTCGTACTCGTCCTGTCGTTATTCGTAGTACTTCTAATTCGTATTTGCTCGATATGTGGCTCGTTGTATCTCTACGGAGTGTAAATCTTGATTAAGACTTGCCAAGAAGAAAGGAACAACGAAGAAGCATGTCTAATGCCACGATATTTTTCAAGCGACATACCTTCCATACAAATTCACCAGAACTAGAACTATTATCCTCATCTTCCTCTTCTTCTCCATCTTCATCTTCTTCCTCCTCTTCCTCCTCCTCCTCCTCCTCTTCGTCTTCATCTTGACTACAGCATTCGCGTTCGGTGACAAAACTCGTCGACATTAGATCATCTTGCAACGGCAGAGGTAAAGGTAGCGGGAAGGACGAAGGTAGCTGCTGCCATTTGGATTCTTCCTCGGGACTTGGCAGCGGCGCGCCACTGCTCGCTTTGACGACACGCGACTTATTCTCCAACGGTTGTGCCATTGAACAAATGTAATCCAAATTCTCCTCCTCGGACAGATCGCCATTCGTCGTGTCACGATCTTCGTCCTGCAATCGTCCCTCCAACAGTATCATCTCGTTCGTACGAGTGTCTACCAACAGCACATCTTCGGACGGCACCGATTCTCTCGAAGCGACGGATGTCTCCCTAGAGTTGGACATTAAAGACTCGGAGGTGACGGTGCTCTCTCGCTCCTCTAGAATAGGACTAAGCGGCGTTCCGTACACGTTGTACCTAAACGCAGTGGAAGGAAATGTTCATACTGTTCTAACGTAACGGGAAAAGGTCACTATTTAATGTTCTTCGTCAAGACCTGCGTTCGTGATCCAAGAATTGTGTCCAAGTTCTAGTTCCGAGAAATGTATAGCCAATGAACTTGCACCTTTTATGGAAAAGCTGCAAGTTGGATACAGTTTTTGGATCGTGGACACAAGGCTTTAGACAATCTATCCTCACAGGGCCGTACCTGATCGAGATGTCTATACCCCCGCTAACTTGATCGGGCAAATCCTCGCCGTCTTCGTCGTCCCACTGCTTGTCGTACGCGTCGTCGGAGATGGAAGGGTTCTCGTCGTCGTGCGCCTCCAAGGATTCTACGATCTGCATTTGGGCCTGAGGCAACTTTTCCCTGAGTTCGTTACGAATCGCCGTCACGAATTCTTCCTCCATACCGAACGACACGTACGAGTTGTCGCTGCGCAAGCTCACCGTCGAACTGTCCTCGTCCTCGTTCTCATAATCTCCCTGCGAGCACTGTTCATCTCGCTGGACGTTAAAGGTGTCAAATTTTAAGGCGCGTGCCTCCGCGTCCGAGTCGCGACGCGACGGAACGTCACTCTTGTCCTCCCGTATCTTCTCAGGCGTCACGTCTCTCTTCTCCGTCTCCTCCGCCACATTTTCGCGCCTCACCTGACGCGGACTCTCCGTCGCGTCGCTCGTCTCAATCGAGTCGGAATTGGTGACGCCAACTTTAACAGAAGCGTGATCCAAGTCAGGAGTACTCCGTTTGGACGGCGACGCGCTGTTCTCGACGTCGGGCGTAAAAATCGCACCCTCCGTTATACTTTCAGGGCCAGCGGGCGTGGCGTAGTATTCCGCATCGAGAATGGTGTCTAGCTCGAACAGAATTTGGAATGGTTCTTCCTCGGAATACGACGATCTGGAGACCGCGGTGCTGTTGACCGAGGACAGGGGGTTGCCAGACGTCGAGCAAACCGCTTCCTCCTCCTCGCAGGACTCCTTGTCTCGAAAACCAGAATCGGAGCTCTGTTCGTCGTCCGGCGTGGACAATTGCTTCCTCTCTTCCTCCTCCTCCTCCTCCACCTCCTCCTCGTCGTCGTTTGGCAATGGTTTCTGCTCTACTTCCGCATTCTCTACTATAGAAAAGCTATCGTCGGCGGTATAAATTGAATAGGCGTTAGAAAACTGTGGCGCGTCTGGCGTGGACACGGCGGTCACCGTCAGTTCCGGCGCGCCGGCGTTACTCGGCTCGGTCGACGTATCCATGTACTCGTTGAACTCCGCCTCGTCCGAGAAGCCCGGTACTTTGTGCTCCAGAGCGGAATCTAGCGCGTGATTCCATAGTAAAACGTCCACCGTGTTGGTCTCGGCGTCGTTCGAAACAAAACGATCGGCAGTATCGTCGCTGTCGCGATCCGCCTTCCTCTCCGCTTCCTCGGCGGAGGACATTTGGTCAGGTACGTAGCGAAGAAGGGGCAGGTCCGGGTCTCCCTTCGACAAGAGTCTCAACACGTGCTTCTCGCCGCCGCGCTGCGCACTATCCTGCGCGCCCTCGTGACTCTCCGGCGTCTCCCCCTCGCCGTCCAAGGCGAGACGCAGGATTGGCGTCTGGCCCTGATCTATGGTCAGAGTCAGGAGCTTCGGCCGTTCTAGATTTTCCAAGGATCGGACTTTGCCAGCGGCGTTGCTCGGCAGGGGATCGCGCAGCTTCTTCAACGCCTCGTCAAACTGATCCGTGGGCGCGGTGTGCCTGAGGTCGCTGTCGCTACCGGTCACCGACAGTTTCTTCTTCACGTTCTTCTCCGACGTTTGTGCCCCCAGCGACCACTCCGCGTCGGAGTCGGGATCGATGTGCACAAGCACCATGAGGTCCGTCACGGACTTGGACTTCTGTTTGACCTTCTCGGTGTAAACGCCCTGCTCGATTCGACCCTTCCAGCTCTCCTCCTCCGTCTCTGAGCCGGACTCTTGAAACATGGTGGCGGTCTTCATTCGGGGGATGTTCCTCACTTGCTCGTCGGGTCCGAGGCGGAATGAGGAGCGCAACGAGTCCGTTGTTTGCGCGTCGTCCACAATGTGGGTCCAGTAGTCGGAGTCGATGCTGCCGCGCAGATCCTGTAAGCTGGCGCTGCGTACGTGCTGCTTGCAAGTGTTGGCGCGTAGACTCTCCCATCGGTGCTCAAAGTCCGTATGCACCGTGTGCTCGTTGAGGAGAATCTGCTTCACGTCGTTCAACGAGGGCCTGTCTTTCGCGTTGACGTTCAGACACAAGCGAATCGTTTGGAACACATTTGACGGGCAACCGGCGTGATGATTCTGCAGCAATCGCATGCCGTTCGGCGTAAATTGCTTCTTCACGGACAGGATCATCTGAATGATTTGCTCGTCGTTCATTTCGTTGTAGGGCCTCTCTCCCCAGCTGGCGATCTCCCAGAGGAGAACCGCGTAACTCCACATGTTGGCCTGTAACGTGATCTCCTGCGTCTCGATGGTGGTGTCCGTGCAGTTCAGACTTTCCGGTGCGGACCATCTGATAGGTAACGCACGGTCTCCCACGATATAATAGTCCTCGGGATACTTTTCAACACCGGTGCCGTAATCGCCTAGCTTGGCCGATAAGTCTGGCGCCACCAAACAGTTCCTCGCAGAGAGATCGGTGTGCGCGAAACCGTGGCTGTGCATGTGCTTCAAGCCAGACGCGATCTCTATCGCGATTCGTATCGGAATATTCTCCTTGGCGAGCGCCTCCCTCGACTTGGTGTCGCGGTTCGACAGCAGGAAGCCCTTCAAATCGCCAGCCGGGCACGATTCGAACAGCAGAAGGTAGGGGTCGGTCTCCAGGCAGAAGCCGAGTAGAGCCAGGACATTTTGGTGGCGCAGCTTCAAGTACGGCGTGGCCTCGCCGAGGAACCAAGCTTTCTCCCTGGTGGTGGCCTCTTCGGTGAGGATTCTCACCACCACGCCGCCCGACTTCGACGTGCCTTTCGACTGCTCCAGATCCGCCCGACCCTCGACGACTTTCCCGAACCATCCGTGACCTATTTCTCGGAGATACTTGAGCTTCTCTCGGGGGACGTAAAGCTCGTTCGAGTTGAACCACTCGCTACACGGCTCCTGTAAGATAGAGCGATCCGTGTCCTGCTCTTCGATGCGCGGCGCTGGCAAAGGTATCGCTTTGTGCTTCGGAGTATTTCTACTTCCAGACATGATAGAGTCCACGGGTAAGGGCTCGAATTGCACTCTCTCGGAAGCGGCCAACGTCCTGGAGGCATCCAGTTCTAGTCTCTCGACGGACCGATCGAACGCGCTCTCCTGTCCTGTACTGCCATCCTTGAATTCCTACAACGATAACAACAGCGCCGTTTTAGGTAGGTTGCCGGTGGTTTTCGTCACAATCGCAGCACGTGGCGATACAAACATAAAAATTTATTTCTAACGTACTACGCATGCTGCTCATGAACGTGTCCAAAGGGGGATGGGAAAATTTAGGGTGCCTAATGTAATAGAGGAAAGTCCCCTATTCCCATACAGCACAAACCTTGCAGTTACATTGCAGCTACATTACAGCAATGTTGCAATATTGTAGCAATGTTATTGCAATGTAACTGCAAGTTTTGTACTGCACGGGTTATGAGACAACCCATACAGCACAGATGGTTGCAGTTACATTGCAGAAACGTTGCAATCTTGCAGAGACATTGCAGGGATATAAAATTGCAAACTTTCGATAGCAATATTACAGCAATGGTTTCAAAAATAATAAAAATACTATACCCATACAGCACAGATGGTTGCAGTTACATATGCAGAAACGTTGCAATCTTGCAGAGACATTGCAGGGATATAAAATTGCAAACTTTCGATAGCAATATTGCAGCAATGTTTCAAAAATAATAAAAATACTATATTTTCTATTTAAAAAATTTTTCTAATTACGAGAATTTTATAATGTTATTTTCGTTGATACCAATAATGCGCGAATTATTAAGTACCTGATCAGTGCGGTGTTGCTCGCAATCTCCATCTATTGCGAAGCAACATAATCTCCTTAGGTTGCTTCGCAATAGCTTGCTGTGTATTGAAAAAGGCCCGGATGCATATGTAATTAGTAAATTCTTTGCTTATGTACAACAACAGATTATTCCAAAAATATTGCACCGTAACATTGCTATAATGTTGCACTGCAATCTCTCTGAGGGCGGACATTTCAACGTTGCTGCAATATTGCAATCTTGCAATGTAACATTTCTGCAATCTTTCTGTGCTGTGTGACAAGTTCCTAATATGAGATAGCTGGGTTTTTACTAAATCAATGGGCATCATCTATCGGTTTCATCGTGAATTCATTGCTCTTGGAGCGAAATCTGTTTAGTGGAAAATTCACTGTTAGATCGTGTAATCGTCGCGATTAAATTTTGAAGTTGAAAACCTGCTATATTATATTAGAGGACTTTTCTCTTTACAAATTACGACCGAATCGTCTCTTTGAAACTCAAAGAGACTTATCTACTTTAAATGATACAGATCTACAACAATGCATGATTATATGTACTAATTGTACTAGACTCTATCTGTAAGAACTTGTCGAACGCAATCTACGTAAGAAATACAGTTTCATTATTTACGAATACATATGAAAACCAAGGCCCGTATTCTGAATCCTCTTTTATCGATAAAAGCGCCTGCAAAAGTGGCTAACAAGCCCTCTGATTGGCCGCAGGCTACTTTTAGAGGCGCTTTTATAGATGAAAGAGGATTCGGAATACAGGCCTAATAATTCGTGTATAGATGTCAACCGCGATCTACATAGATAGAATCTGTTTTTCGCTAAACATTGATTTCGTTCATATTCTCGTTCTAATAATTGATATGGCGACATATAATGGATCCGCAACGTCAATGTTACCTGATTGCATTTTTCTGCCTTGTCCTATAATTAAAAAAAAATGCAAAGACTGGCGTTAGAGTTCTAAAACAGTGGCATCGCTTTTTCTACGTTATACTTGGGTACGTAAAAGAAAGTCTCGCCTAACTACCTGAAATCCCTTGGGTCTCCGGTGCCTCTGGCAACAAAGGCACCCGGCCAGAGTCAATGCGGTGGCGGTGACGCTCGACAGAGCGATCGCGTAACGCATCCAATAGTGCTCCCATTGCCAGGAAGCACGTGCGTGTGGCGAATCTGCGACGAGAAGACAAAGTTCGATTAGCTCTGACGACATTTAGAGCCGTAAACACATTGTCAGTGCCGGTTTATTTCTACTTTTGAAGGAGAGGCAAGGAGGACAGTTTATACTTTCCCGTCCACAGAACGCATATGTGATCGAATTGGAGGAACAGGGCAATCGACGCTCGATAACGGCGAGGGAGGACACTCGTGGGCGACGTACCAGCAGTGAGCGGCGAGGGTACAGGGTAGGCCGCGAGCATCGGTAGACCCAGCCAGAGTAGGCAGCACATTCTCCGTAGACTCCGCATCGCGTACCGGGGACAGCTCGTCATCGTCCTCGCGTTTCCGATTCGGGACGGGCCGGGGCTGAACCTAGGTCATTCTCGCGTACGCGACGGCGGCGACGAGCCGCGAGCCGAGAGACGTCGGCGATTCGAGGACAGCCGTGACAGACGTTAGACGGGTCGACGGTGACGCGCTCATAGTCCTCGCCCCGCCGCGTGTCTCCGTGGCGGCAGCGCTGGCGAAAGGTGGAGAGGCGCACAGCGCGGGCCGTACATGACAACGGTACGTGCTCCGATCCGACGCAACGGCGAGCTGGCGGACGTGGGGCGTCGGGATCACTCGCGCATGATGCGACGAGAACGCGCCCTCCTTCTCCACGCACCTCTCTAAGCACTCTCGCGCATCGTTCCCACGCGGAGACTGCAGAGAGGCGCCCCTGTCTAGGGGGAGAAAGCGCCGACAGAGATCTCTGTCTTCACGCGCCGACCGCGCGTGCATTTATTCGTACGATTCGTACGTAGTACGTATATACATGCAACGCCGAGACCGAGCCCTGCGACTTGTGTGTGTATGTACGTGCATACATGAAAAATTCGCCGCTGTCCTGTGGATTGGGAAACATTTGGTCGTAAGGAGGTATCTACCCGGGAGGGGGAACGTGGACGATCGCGTGAAAAGGACGGGTCCGATCGGTGCGATACGCCATGTTGTTGACACAGTTTCTGACGTAACGAGCGGAGAAAAAACGAATGGTCATTGGTCAACAATATTGGCGCCTTGTATTCGATTGTGCTTTTATTCACTGTTGTTTAGCAATTGTCAATCGAGAGAAACGTAAGTTAGCGTTCGCGTATTAATATAAAAACTGGCATTTTATTTCAGCCACAGTTCAAAAATATTGGGTGAGGTAAAAAATTCTGAGCGTTTTTCGCTAGATGTCTTTAGTGAGCCATATCTCACGATCATGGAGAAACCATGGAGAATGTATAAGGAGACCGAACTGCCCGTAATCAAAATGGGCCCATAGA